TATGTACCCCGCCTACAACAAATATTCATCCCACAATCCACAAGGGAAGCCTGCCGTTTCAACTACCCACGATTCTCGAAAAAAGACCGATATGTCGTCGACCAACCAAGACGCAGCCTCGCTGCAATACACTTGCAACACCTGTCTTGTTGCTTTCCAACGCAGCGATGCGCAGAGAGATCACATGCGCAAAGACTGGCAGTAAGTCTTGAATTCCAATTTTTTAATTTTTTTTTTTGGTTCTTTTTTTTGCGACTTCAGAAGCTGATTTGATCTAGTCTATACAACATGAAGCGTCGCATCGCTTCCCTGCCACCCGTCACTCTCGAAACTTTCAACGAAAAAGTTCTTGCCGCCAAAGCTACATCCAACGAGGCCGCCGCCAAGGCTTCGTATGAAAACACTTGCCATACTTGCAATAAAGCATTCTACAGCGAGAATTCGTACCAAAATCACATCAAGAGCTCGAAGCACAAGCAACGTGCGGCTAGCCTACGTAAGGATGGCGACGCTGCCTCCGTTCAGAGTTCCGCTTTCTCTCTCGGGGAACCCGTGACCAAGTCCGACAATGACGTCAGCAAGGTCACCGAGCACTTCAAGACTGCTACCATTGATGAAGAAGAAGATGAGGATATGGAATCTGACATCAAAAAAGACGAGTTCTTGCCGTCTCGCTGTCTCTTCTGCAAAACCGACTCAACTGATATTCACACCAACGTGGACCACATGCGCATAGACCACGGCATGTTCATCCCCGAGCAAAAATATTTGGCGGATCTCGATGGCCTCGTGAACTATCTCTACCGAAAAATTACCGACAACTTTGAGTGCCTTTACTGCCACGCCATCAAAAACGACGCACAAGCCATCCAAACCCACATGCGCGACAAGAGTCACTGCATGATTGCTTTCGAATCAGAAGAAGAGCAAGTTGAAATCGGCCAATACTACGATTTCCGGAGCACCTACTCCGACGATGAGGATGAATCCACTGCCGAGAGCGGCGGCGTCAAGGTGAACGGCGATGGAGACGACCAAGGTTGGGAAACCGACAGTTCTGCATCCTCTATCGATGAGGACGAGCTTGACTCATACCGAAACGCATCAGGTGCCTACGAGGCAGACTATGAGCTCCACCTTCCATCTGGAAAGAGTGTCGGTCATCGTTCACTTGCCAAATACTACAGACAAAACCTCCACAAATACCCCTCAGCCGCCGAACGAGCTGCCCGCCAGCTTGCCATTGCGAATGGAGAAATCGAGGAGGAAGAGCCCCGCGGCCGCATCAGCCATCACCGCGCTCTTACCACTCGTGCCAACGGTGGCCTGGGCCTGATTAAAGCTACCGAAGAACAAAAGGAAGCTGCTCTCACTGCCGAGCGCCGCGAGAGAACTCGTGCCCTTCGCCAAGAGAACCGTTACGTCGCCCGCGTCCAAAGAGCCAACAATCACCAGAAGCACTTCCGGGTATGTTCGACCTGTGCTCTTCTTTTGTTTTGCAAAACTAACTTCCCACCAGGATCCCCTTCTGCAATGATCGCTTCATCACAGCACCAACGGGAAGTCACCAATCGACCTGTTTCCATTCACGACATCGTCTTTTCGACGTCACCGACGAAACATTCGCCAATACTCGCAATACATCGACAACAATCGCAGCTCTTCAGACTTGCACGCTGGTTACTCCCGTGCTGCGAGCTGCTCGACTTTTGGCAACCTTCGGGCTTGTGCAAGCCCTTCGATTCAGAAACGAAACAACCAAGTGAGGTACTCTTTCCGAGCCGGGCCATTTTCTCAAATGAGTTTTTCAACCCGGTCGGTTTTAACGAGGCCTCACGGAACATTGGACAACTTTATAACGGACATATCTATGGATAGCGGTTACATGTTGCATATACCTTTTGTTACAGCTGTCGTCATTGTGTTGTCATCTCTTCCTATTATCTGGAGGAGTCTTTTGGAAATAGCGTTCATATATCTAGCCTCAGAAAATCAAAGCGAATCTGCTCAATATCTGTGTCTTGAGGCATGTTGTCATAATTGTAGTTGTAACCGCCTGTATATTGACCTATTCTGGGATCGGTATCTCCACCAACGTTGCGTTTAAACACACCATTGCTTTCCAAGGTAGGCTATGAGGTCAGTGACTGAAATCTATATACCCCTAAAGAGTTCGTACGACAGATCAAATTGCCACGCGAAAATTAAGAGATTTTTGGCTTCCTAGTTGGCTTATACGGTTACAACGCAATGCAAATACAGCCCGGGGGCGCTTTTAAATCTCATTAACACAGGCGTAATTGTAGTAGTACGGATAGTTTCATTGAACTAAATACATGTGTAACGGCTCATCGAAGTAACGGCTGGTCCTCCGAGGGACCGCCATCAGACTTTGAAGCTTTGCCATGCTTCTTTCGGCGGCGCTTTCTTTTTGATTTTTCGTGGCCACCGCCGGGGTTTTCTGAATTTGCGTCATCGGTGTCAAGGACTGCACCATCGGTATGGTGGTGTTCGCGATGGCGATGATGGCCTGGTGGATGGGATTCACCTTCTGAAGAACTGGTGCAATTTGCATGAAGGACAACTTTGCGAATACCATTGACATCCACGACCTGTTCTGTGATGCTTCCACTGCGTGCCGGTCCGCGGTGTTGGTAAATAAAGCCTGGTGTGCCAGACGATTCAACACTGCCTTCGTCACTGCTAGCCTTCCGCGTCGACCCAGAACGCGGTTGGTTTTCGGAATCGTCGCGCAAGGCAACACTACTGGCCGCCCGCGTCGACCCAGAACGCGGTTGGTCTTCATGTTCCTCACTGACAGCCTCGGGAATGGAGACTTGGGGAAGGTCTTTGTATTGCTGAGCACCGGTGCCTTTGCTCACACTGTCATTCGAAGTCATGGTGCCGTAGCCAAGTTTCAGAGCATGCGTACCATCTTTGGCGTCTGTTCCAGCGGAGTTGAGCAAGCCCGCGCCTATGCCACCTTGATATCCGGTAGAAGAAGGTATGAGCTTTTGGGAGTCGGAGGTGCTTTGTCCGGACTCGAAGTCGGTTTGTGCGGAACGGGACGGAGACGTGCTGTTACGCTTGATCTTGACGGCATGGTAACGGGTTTGGCGAGGCCTACTGGCCAGGTTTGAGGGCCCGAGATGTTTTAGGTGCTCTCGAATCTCATCTGGGGTGCCGACTTGTGTGACACTTTCATTTGTTGAGTCAGGATTGACGTCGGGGTTGGTTTTGCGAAGTTGGAAGCGGGGAAGGGGTGTTTCCACGGAACTGCGGCGTCGAATCAAGTCAGAAGGCTTGGGGAGTGACGAAGGTTGTGTGGGATCCACGTCAATCAAGTCACCATCGGTGATAACAGAGGCGTTCAAAGGAGGCTCCTCGACAATCTTCCCTTTGGCAACACGAGACTTAGGCGCAGGTGTCATTCGTCGGATGGCTTTGTGGACATCGATAAAGACGTCAGATTCGTCAATGATCTCTTCTCCGATCAGTTCTTCAATGACATCTTCCAGGGTGACAACTCCAAGAGCGCCACGATCCTCACTAGGATATTCAGAGACAAGAACCATATGGGACTTGCCCTCTTGGAAGAAATTCACAATATCAAGACAGCTGGTTTCAGGGCGTGTTTCAGGAAGTGTAGCCAAAGCAAAATCGCGCACCCGTTTGCAATCTTCCGGGTCGTATGTAATGAGCATCTTGACAAGGAGCATACCAACGAAATTCATCGGATTCTCAGGAGCGTGGATGGGAATGCGGGAATATCCTTGGGAAAGAATGTGGTCCATCGTGCGTTCGTCCAAGACAGTGTCGGCCGACATAGTGAAGACATCTTCCATTGGTGTCATGATGCTGCCTACTGACTTCTCTTTGAGGTCGAGAACTGCACTGATAATGGTCACTTCATCAGAGTTGAGTTGCTCCCCGGCTTCGCCCAAGGTTTTGTGGAGTGTGACGAGCGTTTTCAATCCGGCCTTTTTGTAGATAGTACCATGGTCCTCTCCAAGGAGCCTATCCAGCAATTTGGCGATTGGCCAGGCGACTGGGGACATAATGTACATCAACACCAAGACACAAGGTGCCATCCAGGCACCAATGGGAAGACCATAACGAACGCAAATAGACTGTGGAACAATCTCGCCGAAGATGACAATCAAAGCAGTGCTTCCTAGCACCGCCGGCCAACCACCACCGAGTGTTCGGTCCAGGACGATGGGTAAGGTTTCGTTTGTGATAACATTGCTGAGGAGGAGCGTGACAAGGACCCAATGTTTTCCGTGGTTCAAGAGATTGAGAACGCTAGTAGCATTTTTTCTTTCGTGCCCTTCGCCGGATGTCTTGATGACTTGGAGATAAACTTCATCCTGTACAACGAAGCAATCAGGGATGTCAGCCTGGTTCATCAGGGAAATTGTAGCCGCATTGGAAAGAGCTGACCTGTCCCATCAAGGCAATAGTAAGACCCGCAAATGCTCCACCGCTCAATACAAGGGCAGCTGAAAATCCCAAGTAAAGCCATAAACTCGGATCGCTCGGTTCCTTTGGTGGTTCTGTGTCGCGGGATGACAGAAAAAGAGGTGAGAAGATAGGCGCAGCAGTGGTGAAAGGAACTTGCGCTATGGCGACGAGGACAAGCTTGGCCAGACTCAGCATCAATGGCCGAGCGGCAAACGAGCTGTATGGTGAAGAATTCATAAGAGGAGAGTGATCAATGGGACATGCTGTGATGTAATGGGTAATGACCGTCGGTCGCGGCCGGGAGGGGCGAATCGCAGATGGGGCAGATGGGGATGGGGCAGATGGAAGGGGGGTGGGGAAATAGATGAAGGCAACGAGAAGGAAGGAGGGAGAGGGGGGAGGTCCTTGAGATGGTTAGAGAACCCGAGGAAGCAGTAGGAGGACAACAACAGAGTGAGCAACCGAGCAGGAGCAGGATGGCGGAGATCGGGGGTCGGCAGGCCGGACGGCTTACTCAGCCTACCTCAGCCTCAGCATCAGCTGGAGTTGGAGCCCCCAACCTGCATGCTGTTGACCGCCTCGGTGATGTCCGCTGCCTCCGCCGTCTGGAAATCCGCCACCTGGCGCTCAAGGTTGCCCACTTTGCCCCAAGTCTGCTGGAGTTCGATGCCCGATACCACAGACTCGCAAAAGAGCTCTGCGTTGTGATCCAGCAGAGCTCGGTTGTTGTCCTCCATTTTTTCGACCTTCTGGTATAGCGACTCTCCTTCGTCAGCCAGGTCGTAAACTGCTTCCTTGAGGTCCTCGACCTCCTTCTCAAGTTCCTCCTTCTCCCTCGCAAGATGAGCCGCCATGCACTCCAATTCGGCGTGCTGGACCTGCAGTTTGTTATACCGGTCCTGCAGCCTCTTGCCGGCCCTGAAATAGCCGTCCCTCTGCTGCACACACTCGACGTAATCTTTTGTTTCCGCTTGCATCTCGCCGTCAAGCTTTTGGTGTGCTTCCTTCTCGGCCTGTAGCTCAGCGGTAACCTTGGCATTGGCGGTCCGCAGCTTGCCCAGCTGCGCTTCCTTGGCAGCGAGGTCGTCCTCCAGGGAATTCTTTTCCTGGGCCGCTCCTCCAGCTGCCTTACGCTGCTGGGCCAGCGCGGTCTCTGCCTCTGTCTTGAATGCCGCTGTTGCCTTCGCCAATTTCCCCTCGTAATCAGCCTTGGCTGCCATCAGCTCCTTTTGGTAAGTCTGCTTCAGCAAATTGACACACTCCTCATGCTGCTGGTCAGCAAACTCCATCGTGCTCCGCACGGCATCCCTCACTTGCTGCTGGGCAAGCTTATGGGGGACGTCGGGGCTCGCCTGGATCTGCTGCCGGAGGTGTGCGTTCTCATTGCTGAGCGCGGTGGCGGCGTCGTGGAGAGACCGAAACTGGTCAGCTGTGCGGGCCACGTAGTCTCTAGCCTCGCTCTCAAGCCTGACCAGCTTCGACTCCCACGCCGCATTGACAATCGCCACCTGCGCAATGGCAGTGAACTTCTTATCAGACCGACCACGTTCCCCCTTCCCAACTCCGTATATTTTGGTCGGGGCCCAACGAGAACGTCCCTTCCCACGAACGGGATTTTCCTGGGCCTGCCGCTGTAGGTCTTCCAGGTCCTCGAACTTGCGCCGCCACCCACGGCACTCGCCGAGGACCCGATCCTTCGCAACCAGGGATTCCTTGATACCCCGGGAGAGAGTCGTCAGTTGAGCGTCTAGGTGCCGGACCTTCTCTTTATGATGTTTCTTCTCAATCTCCCGGAATATCTCGGAATCACGAACTCGTGCCTCCGTGCTACGGAGCTGCTGCTCTAAAACCTCCACCTGCACTCTCATCTGATCGATTTTCTTGGCCGAAGCCTCCTCATCTGTTGTTGGATGAACCAACAACGCTGCAGCTGCCTGCAGCAAGCCAAACAGCCATGCGCGGGGACTATTCAATGTGAGTCTAAATACTTTGGGTGGGTATTTGCGTATTTGTGTTGTTATTTGTGTGGTTATTTGTGTGGGTATTTGGGTGGGGACTTGGATGGGACATGGGATGGGTATTTGGGTGGGTATTTGGATGGGTATTCTTGGCAACTCTTTTGGTGTCATGAGACATGACCCACAAGCTGGCCGGAGGGAATATAGAGGGATGGAACCTCCTAAACTTACCTGCTGAGGCAGCAAGTCCCCGTTAAAAGCGCAGCCAACACGACGACAATACTTCCGACAAATCGGAAGAGCTGGTCGTGCCAATATGCGGCCATTGCCGCCAGAAGAAAGAAGAAAACGAACGAAGCAATAGACATTGTCTTTGATTTTAAGACGAAAAAAAAGAAACTTCGAATCGTATGAAGATGGGAAGAGGGAAGAAACAAGAGAAAACAAAAAAATAGAAGTCGAAGTTTTACGAGCAGTCCTACACGTTACGTGCGTTCCTTCCTGAACAACTACCCATTCAAACGAGGCAGTCTTCAGGCATCCCTCCCAAACAAATAATTATAATAGTATCAATCAATGGTCCTGTGATACAATAGCATACATCGTACATACCATCTACATCGTGGATTATTGTGGAGTTGTAGATTCAATAAATTAAGCTTTGCGGCCCGTGTGGGGTACATACATGAACCGACGGGACTATCGGCCTGACGTCACAAAGCTTGCCAACTTTGGGACATGGCCGTTCTCACTATCACCCGAGCCTTGTCTACCACTGAACAAGGTCCATTTGGACTGGAAAGTAATGCCTTCATTGAATGGTCATTCCGCTCAAAACTTGCTCGTCAACCATCGTCCCCAAGCCCGGCCTTTCGGGTACATGTAGATATCCACCCGAACCATCAATATTTTGGACAAGCAGCTGGTTCCAATGCTGTAAGCATCAGGGGAAAGCAGGATCATTGGCTTTTTGGACTGGGTCATTCTTCGGCCTCCATTTTGAGAACGGGAACCCGTGGACTCAAGTCGAAGGGTTTCGTGTCTCTATCCCAAGTCTGCTGGTTCAAGATTCAATGCCACAGAATAACAAAGGAGCTCCTCATTCTGCTCCAGCAGGACTTGGCTGTAGTCCTTCAGTTTGGCCATTGAGTCAGACCAGCCTGCTTCAACAAGGATTGTCGGCCACTTCAAATCTCTTCCAGCTGCTTCCTTCGGGTCCTCGATCTCCTCGAGACACTTTTACCCCTCGCAAGATTGATCTTCTCAGGCTGCAGTTTATTAGGTCTTCAACAGGAGGGGAAAGTGGACCAGGCATACCGAGGCCATCTATAGCGTCCTAATCGGGAGCTTAGCGCCGGGCCGCTTAGCCTCGTTGTCAGGGACAGAGGCCTCGCGGTGGGTGGGGTTCGCTTCGGCCCTATGGAAAACCCATCCCCCATGGCCACCACAGCTACCACGAGCGCCACAAAAAGAAGTACCCCAGAACGAACTATATTGAGGCCAGCATAGAAGACTGGGCCTTGACTTCCACTATTATATGACAGATACCAGAAGCACTGCCTGAGCGAAGGAGCGGTGCTAGGAGTACTCCACTATCCGCACCCCGTTGACCTGAAGAAAATACTCTCTTCCTCGGTAGACTGGAACCCATAGAGAACTCCATGGTCGACCATATATTCGACCCTTGCCCAATTGCGCGGCGCAAAGCTGCCTCATACTAATACAGCTTTTTCAGGTAGTGGCCACTAACCTAGGGCACCTTCAGATCACCCAAGGCTTTAGGGCAACCGGAACACTACGCAGCATTATAGCAGCGTCCATCTTTTTGTAGCCAGTGCCAGCCGAGCAAGTACCTTAAGACGACAAGACTGAATCGAGGGGGAAAAGAAGATGAGCGACAAGTTTTAGTTGAGGAGACAAGACTGCCCTGCTCGCCCCAACACCGAACTCTTCCTATCATCTATATGTCAGCCATAGTCCTGATACACCATCACCCCAATAGAGAGATCAAGGTAATAATATAAGCAAGGTATAGTAGGGGATAATATCTTACAGCAAGTCTTACCTCCACTTAGAGGCGACGTGGTCATGGATGAGCTGGGTCTCCAGTCACGGCGACGAGCCTCTATAGCAGCCTTGCTTTTTCAATCAGTGTCAGATTCCATCTTGGTATATGATAGTGGTATATGATAGAGCTTACCGCTTCTTCTCGCTGTGTCCCAGCTTCTCTGCGCCTGCGCTTCAGCGCCCTATTGTGGGCGTTGTTTGGCCCAACTTCTCCCTGGACCCAGCAGCTCATTTCCCATCATATTGAGGCGGAGGGAAAGACACTGTTGAGGTCTGACTCGACGAGCGACGTAAGGTAAAGTGAGAGAAAGGTCAAAGTAAGATATGAAAAATATGAATCCTGCTTGCTCCACTTAGAAGTTGGTCTTAGTGTCCGTATGTAAATGTTGAAATGCCGTGAGATCATGACCAAATAGCGATCAGTAGACTTGGCGAAAAGAGGATACATCGAGGGAGTAGGAATCGAGAGAATGAAGAAGCGATAGAAGGGGGTATGCATACCTTGGGAGATATATATAGAGGAAGGTAGGGTTAGAAGAGAGAAGAACCTGAAGGGAGTAAATATTTATACCTCAATAGGTATTGAGGGGAACAATCGAGAGGGAGAGAGAGAGAAGTGAAGGGAGGGAGAATGTAAAGCGAGGGACAGAATCGAAGGGAGGCATATTTATACCTAAATGTATGTTAAGAAGACTTCGGAAGATAGAGCGAAAGGGAAGAAGTGAGAGCTGAGGTTATAAATACGGAGGGCTGCGTCATTATAGCGTATATCGAGAGGTTCATTAGAGCGATAGAGGATAGGAAGGGGAAAAGAAGAAGATAGCAGTAAAAACTTTTATTTTCTTGGATGGTAGTGGGTTGTATGTGTGGGTGAGTGATGAGAAGTAGAGAGTGTTGAGAACGTGAAGAAATAAAGGTGGGAAGATGGAAGAGAGAAATGTGAACCTGTATATTCTTATCAAACATAGCTCTAAAAGGCCAAGTTAGAGATATTTTGCCCCGTATGAGTCTACTTGTCTACTTGTATGCATGCGGATTCCGTGCTGAAAGTCATCTACTATTAGGTATAATCCTGGGAGGATGCCTGAAGAGCAAAGTGAAAAAATAGCCGAGTGATATTTAAGATTGTTGGCATCGCTTTTGAGACATTAAGATACAGAGTGGTCATTTAAAATATGTGCACCAGAGGTTTGGATTCTCGGGCATCACACCAAAGCTGTCAATGATGGTGAGATAGTGTGCGAATAGGCCCTGGGATCAACACAGCACCACCTCACACAGCACATAATTGCAGATGGGAGTAATAAAGGTGGCCAAAGAGAGTGGTCCTGGTGTTCGGCAGTGGTTCAACCAGAAGCGGACAGGCATGCCAGTGGGAAGGCTCTACCCAATGTGTGGAAGGCGAAAATGCCAAGAGCATGGTTCCTAGACCTTCGGCGGGAAAACTCCTGGTGGGATAGGATTGTATGGTGTCAAGAAAATGGCACAAGAGAAGGCCAAGAATGGAAAGACGGATTACATCTTGCGGAAAGTGTTGCCAGAAGCACTGCGGCGTTCCTTGGCCCGGAATGATGTGTCTGTCTTGTCGTAGCGCACCTCAGGGGCAGCGCGCTTCGGCTTCCCGGCCGGGTTGAAGCTCATCTCTTGCTCGCCCACCACACCAACGCGTCGCGCAGGCTTTTGCCTCGACTTCATATTCTGCGCACGGGAGCCGAAGGAGCGGTCTCGGGTGGAGTTGGCTTGATTCGAGGAAGATACTTGCATACGAGGCGGAGGCCGCTTCGTCCGCTTGTAGTCTGCAGAAGAGATCTTTTTGGAAGCTGCTGCCTTCGCCGGCTTCTCCGCCTCGCTGTCGGAGTCGGAGTCGGAGCTTGAACCGGGCACGTCGTCGATGGCTTCCTGCTCGACTGCCGTCAAGCCACGCTCCTTTCTCGAAACTGATGGGGCAGCAGCCTGGGGAACCGTACTGGGGTTCAACAACTGGAATTCGCGTGAAGTCTCGTCGACAGCGAAATCCTGGTCCTCGAACAGCTTGGCGAAACGGCCACCGCCCAACACATTCTTGTCCTCGCCCACCGAAGGAGTGGTTGCAGCGGCATCGACAATTTCGTGGTCGCCCGAGCCTTCCAATAGGCGTTTGGCATGCTTGCGCTCCCTCTTCTCCTCCGCGTTCAGCATCCTTTCGGCCAGTCTCCTGTTTACCTTGACAGCAACCTTCTTCTTGCCGCGAATACGGCTCTCCCGCTCCTTGTTCATAATCTCGGCCACCTTCTTCGCCCTGGGGTTTTCTGTGTCGGGGAACAACCCGGTGATAGAGTTATAAACAAAGTTCGATACTTGGTAGCCCTTAGAGTAAGGTACCATCTTTCCTGACTGCATGTAGGATGCTAAATCAATGGGCTCTCCTCCTGCCTTGATGAGCTTGGCGTCCCATTTGGCGACCTCTTCACTGGGCACAAGGGTGAAGCCGGGCCAGACAGAACTAGACTGAGCAGACTTGAATGCGCTAGGGTCGTTTGGATCCTCAGCCATCTCTTCAACCAGGTTGTCCAAGAATGAGCACCATTTCGGCGCGGGGCCAAGCTGCGGAATGAAGAATGAGTGTTGCTGTCGGCCTTCGTTGGCCGTGAGGAGCATGCCGCTATCCTTGCACCAAGCAACCGACTTGAGATCCACAGCCGGTTCAACAGAGGTCCAAGGTTTTTGATCCTCGATATCCCAGAGCTTGATGATGCGCTTATCGGCCGAGAGCAACTTGGGTTCGATCGTCGCAGCTTGTGTTGTAGACGATTGCTCGAGGAATTGGAGAGTGTGAATAGGGAAACCGTATCCTTGGTCCTTGACCTGGAAGGGAACGGGCGAACGCAAGTCGTAGAGGTGAATGAGACCATTAGACGAGCCAGTTCCAAGGCTCATGCCGGAGCGATTAAATTCTAGAGCTGTGATTTCCGGTCGCTCATCGTGTAGTCCAACTTGTGCGGGCGTAGACAGCACACCTGCGCGTCCCTTAGCCCTAGGGTCCCATAGCTCAACTGTCCCCAACGAAGTTCCGAAGGCCAACAAATTGTGACTCTGCTCCGCAATAGCACCAGTGTTGACCGACC